CTGGAGCTATACGATTCGATATTGATACTATACGTGATACATCCAATGAGCATTTATCATCATTACCACATATGTTACCATCTCCATCAACTATTAATAAATGGTTACATGATAATAAGGTAAACTTGATGTATCATCATTAGTATTTTTGTTATTATTATTAGATTGATCCCAAGAAGGATAGATTAGTTGTATATACTCATCCTGGTAGTTTTGCTGGACCAAGGGTATGGTGGATCTTTACTCTTTATGGTTTAAATACCGTGTACTATTAATGAAACTTCAGCTTATTATTGTTACTACTATACTGTTCTTATAATAATAATACTTATTAGATACCTTCAAGGTGGGCTTATTGCATGGGAAGCTGCTGATGGTGATGTACAATGGGGTTGGAATGATGATGATGATAGTCAGCAGCATAAGATGGATAATACTATGGTAGATGGTGATATTAGTCTTATTGATGAGGTATCAGCTAAGAAAGCAGTGGAAGATTATGTTGCTACATTACAGTATGTTAATAGTATCATTCATAATCATCATCATGATAATAATAACAATAAATCAATAATAGATGCAAGACCTGCTGATAGATTTAATGGTAGTATTATTATAACTATTTGTTCATCATAATGAACATGATGAACATGATGATTATCGATAATATTAGGTATTGTAGCTGAACCTAGAGCTAACCTTAGAAAGGGACATATACCTTATTCTATCAATATACCATTCATGACAGTATTGGAACCAAATGATGTTACATCCTTTAATATGGATATGCTATTAAATAATAATAAGAACATGATATCATCATTACTAATGGGAGAAGGTAAAGAAGAATTGATATTCACATGTGGCAGTGGAGTTAGTGCTGCTGTATTATTAATGGCTAATCGTATAGCTAATAATACTAACTCATTGAAGGGGACTAAATTGTAATAACATTAATATATATAATATTATGATTATGATTACAGGTATGATGGTAGTTGGTCCGAATGGGGTATGCCATCTAGTAATACACCAGTTGAATAATAACTCGATGATGATGATATTACTTAATATTACAAGGTTTCCTTTATTGGAAGTTACACAATTGAGTTATTATTATAATGATAATAAACACGATATATAATTAGGTTAGCATTATTTATACTTATGAGCTTATCGTCTTCTGCATCTCTCAATATTTTTATTATTAAATCAGGACGATTGGTATCAATATCATCTTTATAATATAACCATTATGTTATAACATATAACATCTACTACTACTCCAACAATCATCCAGTTATAATCCCTGCTATTTATCGGTACTACTACTACTAGCTCAGTAAAGAAAATAGTAGATGATATAGCATCACGAATGGGTATATGATGTCTATCCTCAATATCTATAT